TCCTAGAGGGTGTATGGTCATGGATTCGCCCTGGGTTTCTAAGGAAGCAGAAGAGAAAAAGGATGGAGAAAGGGAAAATAGAGAATGAGAGTGTGGCTGGTCATTCTTTGCCCCTTTTTTAGAGGGATTGTTGTCACCCTTAGGATATGATGATGATTCTTGGATATTTTTATTCCTAAAAAATCCTCAAAATTTAAATATTGTGAACACAATAAGGCTGGATAAGTTTTCTGGACCTTAATTCACAATCCAAATGTCTTACTATGAATATAACCACCAATGTTCCTTTCACACTTTGCTCTTTAATGGAAGATTGATGGTGTGCATCTCTACAAACACACATATACACAAACAGTATGCAGAAGGAGGTATTAAATGCTTCTATCTCTAGCTCATGTTCCCTTCATTTATGTCTTTCGGATGTTGAGTAAAAAAAGTTGGGAACGAATCTCCTAGTTGATTTTATGGGTTGATCAGTATATATTGTTGTTTCTCTGCCAGTATTCATTGGCAGTGAGCAGAATGTATTGTTGTTTGTGTGTCATATTTGAGCTGAGCATCTCAACTTCTTACTACCTTCATATTCTCAAGTTCATTTTATTTATAACATACACTTGGACGTAGTTGATCACCCTTTCAAAAATTATGCTGAACTTTTTGTTTTAGGAAACATGATTTCTTGCTGCTCATATGAACAGGTTGGCCTCAAAATGTTCCTAGGTGTCACAGCAACTGTGGGAAATTGGAATGCTGAGGGAACAACGTGCAGTTTAATTCTGGAGGACAACCCCTTGGTAGACTTTGTTGAGCTCCCTGATACATGTCAAGGTCTATATTATTGTAACATCTTAAGTGGAGTAATCAGAGGGGCATTAGAGATGGTGAGCTTCCCCCTTCTATAGCATCTGCTAATACCAATTTTTACTTTGCGTTGGCCTCACACAACATACATGATCACATCTTTTCTCTCTCTCTCTCTCTGAGAAGAAGACACCTCTTATAGATATCAGCATATGACGTCCTCATTTACTGTCAAGTTTTAATAGGAGTCACTAATGTGAGTGCAATTGAAAGGGTGTTTTTTCTAAATCGAAACGTTATGAACTATGTTACATTGTTGTCATTTTACTTTGCTCTCAAAGTGGCAATCTAGCAGTGCATTGCATTTCCTTGTCTATTTCATGTCATACTAAAGTCAGATGAGTTCATTTTCCAATCTTGCAGCCTCCCTAACTAGAGAATTGTAAGGTTGAGATCTTTATAATCTATCTGAATCGCCTCCCTTTGGTCCATTAGTAATTGTTAGGTTTTAGTAGGCGAGTTGCCGCAGGATATGAGAAGCCAAAATATACTATACTCAATACTGTATAATCTTCTGCAGCAAGGGTGAATTGAGAGTGTTGCGTTTTTTTTAGCTATTGTTGGAGCACCAAATTTATCTGTGTTTACCCTGTGTTCAGGTGTCAATGAAGACTGAAGTCACATGGATCCGTGATATGCTTAGAGGCGATGATGCATTCGAGCTGCAGTTGAAACTTCTGAAACAGGTTCCTGAGGAGTATCCTTACAAAGACGACGAGTAACAGCTGAAACTCATGAATTTTGTATTGCTTCTTCTCGTTCGATCTTAAAGCACTGTGTTGTGTGATCTGAAAATATTAAGCTCCCTTTACTCTCCTCCATTGTGATAAAACATTTATTTCTAGTGCTTACTTACAATGTTAATGATTAGCTGCTACCTTGAATTATTTTGCCATCTCTTGCATGTGTTCTAAGTTCTTCTTTTTCCTGCTTTTCTTTTTGTTGGTTCGACTTTCATTTTTTTCATCTATTCTAGTCTTGATGAACAAAATTACTTGAAACCTGTTGTTGATGGGTGGGAATTGGTCGATATCCTGTGGAATTTATTGAGGTGTGCACAAGCAAAATGAAACCACTCGGTATATTTATAAATATATTTTTTTGGTACAGTTAGAAAAATTATATTTCATATGAAAAGGAAGGACTCATTGAAGTTGAGAATCTGGTCTCCTTTGACAGATTATTTTTATCTCAGTGATTTCATTAAGCAGATAAACATCACATATCTCTATAATTACATCAAATTTTAAGAGAATTTATTAGCAGGAAAATTCGTGGTAACGTAAAATTCGCGATATTTTCTTCTATAATAAGACTGTGACTTGTGTGCATCTCAACTATTTCATTGAGTACCTTGTACCTTACATCAACACAGTTCACAGGTAGCGAGTAACTCTATTCACGGGAATGAATGATGCAATACTCAAGTAATTTTGTATACCTAAGTAGTATACAATAAAGTAAGATCAAATAAATCACATATAACAAGTGAATTGTACGCCCCGAAAGTACACAACGTACATACCTGTTGGATATTTCATTATTGCGGAAATAATTTTTACCCGCCTGAGCAAATCGCGTAAACATCCCCCAAAAAATATTCATACTGTCAGTATATATAACGTTAAAGTAGTTTATTAGACCCAACCACACCATGATTTGCAGATTAAGACAGTCCAAGAAAGAAAGAAAGTAAAGAAGACAGTAGGTCATTGTCCATTTAGAAACTCTGTTCAAATCATAAAAAAAGCCCAAAATTCCCTTATGTTTTTCAATCTTACAATATTTCATAACTTCATATGAAGGCAAAGTGAAACAACACCAAACTTTTATCTCCAATCTAATTTGAACACTTAAAAAAAAACCTTTCTTCAGTCCCACCTTCAAAAATAAAAAACAACAGTTCCACAAATGTGGTCTAGGGAGGGTGGTATGTACGCAGACTTTACCCATATCTTATGAACGTAAAGAGGTTGTTTTTGATAGATCCTCGGCACAGGTAAAACAATTTAAAGTAAGTTTAAATAGGAAATACAGTAGTGAAGAAGTCATATAAAAAATAATAGAGAAAAAGCAATAGCAACAATAGATAATACGATAATCAAAGCAAATTAAATCCACTAATCAGCTGCCGCCTTTACTAGTCTTATATCTCTTTCTTAAGAAGATTTCACTTATATACACTGACAATATAATTTTTTCTTACGAACTCATTTTGGTAGGTAATCTACTTTGTTTTTCAACTTAAAATCTCACTTTTTTTTGGGACAATCACCCATAATTACTATGTTTTAAGGGGTCGTTTGGTTCACTTACTAGTTATGTGAGATTTATCATGCAATGATTATTTATGCGGGACTTTATACCGAGATTAATTGTACATTTAAAAGTAAAAATTCATTCTACGCTGTCAATGTATAGTAGTTAAACTCTGAAATGAACCAACAACTACAATCCATGAGTCTTCTTTCTCAGTCAAAAATTGATGCAAACATGTTAAAACTTGGGGAAAAATGCATGTTTAACCTTCATGCTAAGCAAGGTTAGGTGAATGACAGCAACTTTGAACATCAACAACCTTTGCATAGTCTTTCCTTTTCAAATTCTAACTCAATCAGCTTATTATAGTATAGAGTTATTGATTGCCAAATGAAAAACTAGAACAAGAACACAAATAGTATCAACATTTTGTGTTCTTTTTTCTCATTTTTCTTTGAAACATACAATGCAACTCCTCATATCGCCGAGTTTGAGGCATGTTACTGTCCTCCCAGCTAAAGGATTCAAGGAGTTTGTCAAAGTAAAAGTTGGTTCGAGGAGAATATCGTACCTCATGGTCTTCTATTCGCTCCTGCTTTTTACGTTTCTTCTCAGGTTTGTCTTCATGTTAACGGCTGAAGACACCATAGATGGAGAACGAAAATGTTCAACGCTAGGTACGTTTCGCTCTCCCTCTCTCTCTCTCTGAAAAAGAAGTGGAATTCGCCATTACCAAGAGGCATGTATAAGAAATTGTATTAAGCAGCATTAGGAAAAAAATGATTGTGGTAATATGTGATCTTTATAATATAGTACTTGATTTGTTGCAGATATTAGAAACATTATTAATAGAATGGCATGTAAATATTTCAGCATAATATAATAGCAGTTGTAACATTGGTGAAGTTGTTTCCGTGTGACCTATAGGTCATGGGTTCGAGCTGTAGAATCAGCCACTGATGTAAGCATCAGGTAGGCTGCCTACATCACACCTTAAGGGTGCAGCTCTTCCCTGAACCCTGCATGAACGCGGGGTGCTCAATGCACCGGTCTGCCCTTATACTTACTGCTCAAGTAGTTGTAACTTAACATAAACTAAATTATGTTGATCATCTTTGTGTTCGTATATTTACTAGATAACTCTTACAACATGTAGATGAACCAAAATATCTACAGATTCATTGATTGAACATACTAAGACAGCAAGCTTATAGAAGTGAATAAAAGAGTTACCAGTTCTATTTCGGCATAATACATAGATAGACACTATAACTTGGCCTCCACTGGCAACTGAACACACCAACTTTCATTGTGACTGTCTACATACTACAACTTGACACAAGTGCATCTCACGAAGAACTTAACTTTGCAAATGCATATCTAGACTTTAAGGGGGGTGCATTCTCAAAGTTGGGGTGTTTACGAGGCCAACTTAAACCAAATTAAGGCATTTAGATGTTCATTTTCAAAGTCGAGGTGTATAGTTGTCAGTTGAGACCAAGTTAAGGTGTCTATCTATGTATTATGTCTTCAATTTCTGCAGAAAAAAGCGTATCAATATAGCACTTATATCACCATTTCTTTTCCAATTTTCTTTTCTTTTCTTATTTTTCACTTGATGTGAGAGCCATTTTCACTGTTTGCCCATCGAAGAAACTCTAAATTTCATTCTAAGGCAGGGTGCTTGGGGAGAAAAATTGGACCAAGGATTTTGGGGACACAACTCGAATCAACAGTATGCTTCTACGCCTCATATTTGTATCCTATTTGCGCATATTATTTTTGAAATCCCCTTTGAGCCATGCTCATCTAAGGGGAGATTGGTTTTATGGCCTATTACAAATGTTATTTTAGTTATTTTGCTCTTCTCACAAGAGATCAGTAAAAAATAAACACAGAAGATCAGTATATGAAAGACAGGAGATCTTTGTAGAGTTATTTTCTTCTATTTAAAATCACTAGCTCAAAATATCTATTCTCCCGTATTCTGTTAGGTACCTGAGGTGATTTATCAAGTATTGGAGGAACCTACGGACCAGATTGAAATAGAAGAAGGGCCGGAAACTCCTCAATCGTTGGAAGAGTTTATGGAAGAAATGAAGGACACAAGGCCAGATGCAGAAACCTTTGCTGTCAAGCTTAAAGCTATGGTATTATGTACTTATCATGCCTTCTCCATCATGTATAGAGATAAAGTTAACTTAAGGTACCATATTTTGTCGTAGACAACAAATTACATGTGGATAAAGAACTTTCCTTGATTAATTTCTTGACTACTGTCAGGAGGTCCCTGGTTCAAGTCGTGGAAATGTAATGTAAGAATCTTATAGTTTATGTTGCTCGGACTCTTCAAAATGGGCAATGGGTGTGTGTGCCGGATCCTTGAAAAGTAGTTCATATTTGGAGAATCCGACAGGGTGCGACAACATTTTTAGGAAGTCCGAGCAACATCGCTTATAGTAGACCCAATATCGTCCTGACCTTCCTAGACCCAGTGCATAGCGGGAGCTCAGTACACCAGGCTGCCCTTTTTTTGTTAAAACTTTCCTGGCTGCTAAACAATTAACTAGAAGGCAGACCAGTTGATTATGAAGCAAAAGTTATGAGATATTCACAATGTAATCATATTAACCACTCAAGGCTTGAATAGTGTTGAATTGTATGACCATCTCATCGGAAGGCTTAAACTATTAGAGAAGCACATTCTTATTTACCAAATTATGTTTTCAACAATTAATGTCTATTTGTTGCAGGTAACCCTCCTTGAACAAAGAACAAGAACTGCCAAGATCCAAGAATACCTTTATCGGCATGTAGCATCTAGTGGCATCCCGAAACAGCTGCACTGCCTTGATCTCAAGCTAGCACATGAGCATTCCATCAACGCCAATGCCCGTCTCCAGTTACCATCACCGGAACTTGTTCCCGCCCTTGTTGATAATTCATACTTCCATTTTGTCCTAGCCTCTGACAATATTCTTGCTGCTTCTGTTGTTGCATCATCGCTTGTCCAGAACTCTTTCCGACCTGAGAAAGTTGTCCTTCACATAATCACGGATAGCAAAACCTTCTCACCGATGCAAGCTTGGTTTTCGTTACATTCTTTGACACCTGCAATCATTGAGGTTAAAGCGTTGCACCATTTCGATTGGTTAACAAAGGGAAAGGTCCCAGTTCTGGAAGCAATGGAGAAAGACCAAAAAGCAAGATCACAATTCAGGGGAGGGTCATCAGCAATTGTAGCGAATACAACAGAAAAGCCCCATATCATTGCAGCAAAGTTGCAAGCACTCAGTCCCAAATACAATTCTCTGATGAACCACATACGGATATACTTGCCAGAGGTAACGGAAGTTTTAGAAGCTCACTTAAATTGCATGTAACGTCCATCTGTCCTTCTCTGAAGCACTTTAAATTTTAATGCTGAGAAGTAGAAATGTCTTTGCAGTTGTTTCCCAGTCTTGATAAGGTAGTCTTCCTGGACGATGACATCGTCATTCAAACCGATCTTTCATCTCTATGGGACATTGAAATGAACGGGAAGGTGAATGGAGCGGTAGAGACATGCAGGGGAGAGGACAAGTTTGTGATGGCGAAGCGCTTTAAAAGCTATTTGAATTTTTCTCATCCTCTCATATCGAAGAACTTTGATCCTAATGAATGTGCATGGGCCTATGGCATGAACATTTTTGATCTGGAAGCATGGAGAGAAACAAATATAAGTGAGGCATACCACTACTGGCTCGAACAGGTTAACTACAACTCTACAAGTGACATCAACTGTTAATTCAATGAAATGCATTTTGAACATTATGCAACATTCAAGCATTTTGTTTTAACTAGTACTCCCTCTGTCCCAATTTATGTGATGAACTTTGATTGGCCACGGAGTTCAAGAAACATAGAAAGACTCTTGAAATTTATGATTTAAAACAAGTCAGAGATATTTGCATAGCTACAGATCATCTCGCTTAAGGTTAAAATGGGATGCTTAAAGTTAAATTGCCTCTAAATATAGAAAGGGGAAGTAATCTTTTGCAATTGCTCGAAAGTACTTACTGAAAAACTCGATGATGATATAGTCTTCCTTTTCTTGTGCAGAACTTGAAGTCAGATCTAAGTTTGTGGCAGCTAGGTACATTACCTCCAGGACTAATTGCATTTCATGGTCATGTCCATGCTATTGATCCCTTTTGGCACATGCTAGGACTCGGGTACCAAGATAACACGAGCATCCCGGATGCTAAGAGTGCTGGTGTGATCCACTTCAACGGTCGAGCAAAACCTTGGCTAGATATAGCGTTCCCTCAACTTCGATCCCTGTGGACAAAGTACGTTAACTTCTCCGATAAATTTATCAGAACCTGTCATATTAGAGCAACTTGAAATGAGCAAGGGATTTGTTAACCATGCTGCTTGTAACCAAGAAACCAAATTTTGAGAGAGGTGACCCATGTATAGAAGGTCTCTCCACTCCCTGACGCGAGATTGGCAACAACTCCCGGCCTGACATTCTTGAACACCTCAAAGCTACTATAATTTCTGGTTCCCCAAATGTATTTTATACTGTAGTTAGATATTATACAATGTACATGGTGGATTTTTTTCACCAAAATAATACTTGCAAAGATAATAAAAAAGGATACTCATCCAATTCAATTTAGTTTGTGTATCTAGAAGCATGCCATTAAGGGTAAAATAAAAAGATTGACGTTAAATTGTTTTCAAAAATATAGAAAGATGTCATTCTTTTAATGACAGACTAATTAAGAAATAAAGCCACATAAATGGAATGGAGGGAGTCTCAATCTTCCATTCCATACTAAGTGTGTCTTTGAGGTATAATCATTCAGAGTATGTAAGGAACAGATGGTCCTAAAAGAGATTGAAATTACCAAACAGACGAAAGGAAAGAACGAGTGCAGTAAATGAACTTTACCCGCCCTTCCACCCTTCTCCACTTTAATACTAGGCGGCTTTTGTTGGTGACAGGTTCGAATCCATGAATGACCGTGATGTGCACTTAATCCACATATAACACGTACCAAATCCCTGGGAGCTACGCAAGCAAAAAACTTCTCAGAGAGTTCTCATTAATTACACAATATAGATACAAGCAAATGTAAGTACATTCAGTTGAATTGTTGGCTTGCACCTTTTTCCTGTTACATTTGACACCAAGTCCTCCAATAATCCTGTGGATTTTGCAATTAGCAAACTCAAGGCTAATGCAGTGATACAAGACATTTCAACCTTTAAACTTTCAAGAACTCAGTGATCTTTGTGATTGGAAAATGTCAAACACTTGAAACATTACCTATATATCCCTTGTTGGTCCTGAGAGACAGGAGACTAGCTTAGTCTTTCGATGGTTATTGATTCAAGATCACAAAGTATCCCTGTTTTTTCGAGGTAAGAAGGGGTAGAAAAAAATGTCTCGAGCTAATATTCGAATACCAGGCGCTAATAGCGCTATACTTTCAGTCTCTAATACATTCCATTTCACCACTAAAACTCCCATCTATCACACATTTAGAGATCACACCTTTTCTTTGCTCCTCAAAACCATAATACCACACAGCTAATCAAAGCTGCTCACTTCTTCCAACTCTTTTGGGATGGGAAATTTTGACAGCACTGTCACTGGCTCATCGCAGTTTAGTTACCCCTAACCCCCCCCCCCCCCCCCCCCCCCCCCCCCCGCCCCCCCCCCCCCCCCCCCCCC